CTGGGGACTGAACTGCAACCAAGGTACGTGCCCTTGACCAGAATTGAACCCGGGATGCTTTGTCCCACAGGCTGGTGCTCTAACCACTGAACTAAACCGGCCAGGGCTAAATCTTTACTTCTTAGTAAACATGTTTTCACAACTATTTCTCTTTCCTCATTTGAAACCTTATGCCATTTTACATTGCTGCCCTTTTCTTGGCTTTTGTCTTGTCTTCTGTGTCTTTCCCTTATGTTCATGGGAAGCCTGTAACCCCCGATTCAACTGAGATGATCACTCTCAACTTAAGCATCTGCATGGATGACAAAACAATACATTTTTTTCCAAGAAAGTGGTAAAAATGAAGTATTAGAATAACCAAGAGACTAGTGATTTGTGCCCTGGAACTCTCTGAAAACCCCCAATGACCCATTCTCTCCTATTTTCCACCTAATATAGAAGCACCACTTATATATTACACCCAAGCAAAAATGATAGAGACCTCCAAGGATGGTCTCTCCCCAGTAACAATGAAAATCCTGGCAAAAACGGTCAGAATCAACCTTATCAAAACTCTAGAAGATAGTCTAAGGTTTACAGCAACTAAACAAATGCTTAACCATGAGAAAGCTCACTGAAACAGGCTGGGAGAAGGTCCTGGCATTTAAACGTATCCCATCCCGTCCCAGCACAGCAGACAACCAGCGTGCCCAGCGTGGGCACTTTATCCAGGAGGAGAGCACACCGTGATCTGGAGGAATTCAGCTGGTGTGTTGCTACTTGCCTAGGGGTTCCCTGGAGGATGGGCACAAGGGGCCTGCCTTTGTCCTAACCCAGAGCTCTCTCAGGGTGAAAAATGGTTATATTCCATGGAAATGTTCTTGAAAAACACTGAAAGCCAAATGAACAATCCACTGCTGCTGGTGGCAGAAAAACAAACAAACAAAAAACTAACAGTTGAGACAAACAGTAGGGGAGGAAAAGCTGGGGAGTGAGAAACGGGACTTTAAAAAACTCCCCCCCCCCATACGGAAGAATCTAGAAAGTCATGTGCATGTCCCGGGAAGGATGTATGTTCAGAAAAGACTTGGTAAGACCATAAGCTTTCACAGCTGCTGGCTTTGGGTTCGACTTAAGCGGGAAGGGAAGGCTAAGGCAGAGTTATAAACAGCCTGGCTGGTGTTGAAGGAATGCCCAACACAGAGCCAATCTGCAAAGAACCAGTTGCTCAGGTACACCAAGCCGGGTTCAAGTGCTCAACAGCTATACGTGACTAGTGACTACTCTGTTAGCACAGGACTTGATCATCGTTGCAGAAAGTTCTACTGGAAAGCACTGGCTTAGAGTATTAAGAACATGGATTCCTGTTTGGCTCAGCGGCTGAGCGTCGGCCTGCGGACCAGAGAGTCCCGGGTTCCGTTCCCGCTAGGGGCATGTACCACCACCAAAAAAAAAAGAAAGAACATGGATTCTCTTACTTATTAGCTTGTGTGGTCTTGAACAAGTTAACCCCTTTGCCTCAGTTAACTCGTTTATAAAATGGGAATGCTTATAGAACCAACCTCACATGGTACCTGCGAGAATTAATCAGTGAAAGTGGCCCTTTCCTCTGGACACGCCCGCACCTTTCCCCACGGCCCTTTTCTCGCCTCTCAGTCTGAAGCTCAGGGGCCCTTCTTTGCCTCTGTAACTTGTCCTCTAAGCCCACACAGCTCAACTGGCTCACTTCTACCTCTGTTATTTCTAAATACGCTTTTTGAGGGAAAAAAAAAAGTTAACATGTAAAGCTCTTTAGAAATAATGTCTGGCACATAATTCCTTCTTCTTTTTTTTTTAAATCCTCACCCAAGGACATTTTTTTCGATATTTTGTTCAGATAGAGTGGGAGGGAGAGAGAGAGAGAGAGAGAGAAACATCGACGTGAAAGGGACACATCGAGGGGCTGCCACCCACACGACCCAACCAGGGCCGGGGACAAACTGCAACCAGGGTACGTGCCCTTAGCGGGAACCGAACCTGGGTCTCTCTGGACCGCAGGCCAACGCTCTAACCGCTGAGCCAAACTGGCCAGGGCTGATTCCTTCTTTTTAACTGTTAACAATGACTAATAGGATCATTTGATGTGGTTGTGGGAGGACGCGATACCGCGTTTACCTATGCCGCCATCTTGACCGGAAGCTGTAAACTTTCTTAAGACTTGAGTCAACCAACAGTCACCGATTGTCATCTTTCTGATCAGGGAAGCCCGGAGCCTGCTGGTGGCCTCTTCCTTAGCACCCTCCACTTTGTTCTGTGCCTAAGTTGTGATATTTTTCTGATCACGTGGTGAAGTGTTTCCTTCAAAGACTCAGCAAGGTGGATCAGACATCAAGTTCTCCTCTCCTCCCTTGATTTTTCTCTGCCCGTCTCTGTCTCCGAGTCTGTCCTCTCTGAGTTGTCCCTGTCTTTCTTTCACCTTGCTCACTGCTACTCAGTCAGCGGGGTTCAATCTCAAGGTGACGTGCACAGGGAAACCCTCTTTGAATGGCCCCCTCCTTTTTTTTTTTTTTTTTTATCCTCACCCGAGGATATTTTTCCATTTTTTTTTTGTACAGTAGAGTGGGAGGGAGAGAGAGGAAGGGAGAGAGAGAGAGAAACATCGACATGAAGGGACACATCGAGTGGCTGCCACCCGCACGACCAACCAGGGCCGGGGACAAACTGCAACCGAAGTACGTGCCCTTAGCGGGAACCGAACCCGGGTCTCTCCGGACCGCAGGCCGACGCTCTAACCGCTGAGCCAAACTGGCCAGGGCTGGCCCCCTCCTTCTTATCTGCCCCCACCATTATGTTGTTTTCTTCCACTCTTTCCGCTTGGAGGATTGTCATTAATTGCTTGACTGCTTAATACAAACATCCCCAGAGCTTACAGAGGGCAGGGATAAGGTTTGGGACTTGTTTCTCTGCCCCTAACTTCCAGAATAAATGGTAGGTGGAGATTTGTTGAATGAAGTGTGAACTGTTTCAAGAGAAAGGAGCTACATGCAGCTAAGTGTTGAGTGTATGAATGAAGGCTTTATTTCCCAGCTGAACATTCAAAACATCTTAGTAAATGCCACAGAAGTCCTTTGAGGATGAACTGCTTTGCATTTGTAAACTTATTTTAATTTTCATACTATGGGCATTTTATTAAGTTCCAGAAAGAATCTCTCCTGAGATCAGTTTTACTTACAATCTTCACAAATTGAAGTATAACTCTTCAGAAAGTCTTTCCAGCTGCACATTTTTCACATTTATTATTTATTCCTTAATATTTTGTTTTAGCTCTTGTAAGATTATTTTTTCTTTTCTTTTCTTTTTTTTTATCCTCACCCGAGGACATTTTTTCCATTGTTTTGTTCAGATAGAGTGGGAGGGAGAGAGAGAGGAAGAGAGAGGGAGAGAGAGAGAGAGAGAGAGAGAGAGAGAGAGAGAGAGAGAGAGAAACATCGATGTGAAAGGGACACATTGAGTGGCCGCCACCTGCACGACCAACCAGGGCTGGGGACAAACTGCAACGGAGGTACGTGCCCTTAGCGGGAACCGAACTCGGGTCTCTGGACCTCAGGCTGACACTCCAACTGCTGAGCCAAACTGGCCAGGGCAATATTATTTTTTCTAATTAGATATTGCTGGTATATAGATTTCAATAGACATTTTTATTGTGGTAAAATATAAAAGAGATTATAGTTCACTGGCATTAGGTAAATTCACATTCAATTGACTTCTTTTTATATTTACACTTTAATCAGCCACTTCCCTGAAAACATTTTTTAAAATATTTTTTCTTTATTGATTTTAGAGAGAGAGGAAGGGAGAGGGGGAGAGAGAGATAGAAACATTGATGAGAGAGAACATCAATTGGCTGCCTCCTGCATGTCCTCCACTGGGGATTGGGCCCACAACCTGGGCATGTGCCCTGAGCAGGAATCGAACCCTCGACCTCTTGGTGCATGGGTCAACGCTCAACCACTGAACCACACCGGCCATGCTCCTGAAAACTCCGAAATGGGTCTCATGTATTTTATTTTTTCAAACAGATGTGTACTATGCAAATGAAATAAATTTATCTTCACTCTGATAGAACTATCTTGATGGGGGGGGGGGCAATTTCCAGGACCATGTTTAATCATTATTTAAGATAGCATACATTATTGTTCATGAATTAGACACATATGGATTTCTATTATTTAAATTTGGAAGTGATAGCTTCTTTATAGGCTCAACCAGCCAGTTAGATCTATACCTCTCTAACTTTCTCATTTGAAACCCCACATCTATTGAATCAAACTCCATGCTGAACCTTCTCGTTATCAACTGTGTTATCAGTCTTCATTTTTTGCACATTTCCAAGGGCAACAGATGTCTAAGAATGGGACAGACTTTATTTGCTTCTAAGTGTCATTTGCTCCTGAAATCCTGGCATCCTTTTCCTGGGGAAAAAAAATTCCATTTAATCCTCAAGGACATGTTTCAAGTGTCACCACTTCAGAAAATCTTTTCCTAAACGGCATTTCTTTCAAAGTGAAACCCATCCAGTGCTTTCTGATCATTACCGCCCTCCTTTGGAACGTCGTCACAGTGTGGGCTAACTAATTATACATAACTCTGTATCCCAAACTACACGGTCTCTGGGAACTAGGCGCAGCATCTCCAATGCATGGCTCGTTCTGGATTCTAAATTAATATTTTGGCAATACATAAAGGAGTGACTTGGGATCTGCCACCTAAAAATAAACTAGGTCTAAGATTTGGTGAGCTATGGTCTCAGATTTCCTTCGTAGGAGACAGTGGTCCTCAGAAAATCAAATAGACTCTTCCTTGAAAACTCTCAGGCTTGAATGTTTTGTTAGGTTGGTGGGAAGTGGTGTGCATTATCCATTAGGATCAAGTTGGCTTTGATAAGTTAAACCAACCTTTCATTTCATGAGACTCCAAAGAAAGACCCAAAGAACCATCTGATAAATAAAGGCTGGAGCTGGCATTTATACCTAGTCTGTCTGTCTCCGAACAGCACGCTGTAATGACTTCATCTAAGCCTCAGCTGTGGGGACACGTCTATTGATGGTTTCATCTGAGCACTGTGATAGTGAAAGGTAGGTACTCTTTTTCTTTTATTTCTCCTCCTCCTCCTCCTCCTCTTCCTCCTTTTGTGGTAAAATATGGTAGGTACTTCTTTTGAATATGCTTTGTGACTAATCCCTCTGTGTGTGTGTCTATATTGTTTCTTCTTTGTTCACAGTGATTTTGAGTAAAATCTATAAGAGGTAAGGGACTTGGTTTATGTTTGCCCAGAGGATCTCAGAGCAAGAATTGACTAAGATATTCTAAGTGTTGTTCTGTTCTGGGTGTTGAACTCCAAGGGATCGCGTGGGGAGTGGTGGGATTAAGCCTGTGTTAGATGAGTTCTTGATCGTTGAGTTTGCAGCAGTTCATTATCATTATTCATCCACCTTTTGCAGTGGTCAGACTGGTGAATTAAATGGGCACATGATAGAATCCACAGCCCTGCATTCAGTACAACTCTTGAGCGTGGCACTACTCTGGGCCATTCCCACCAAGAGCTACTCTCTTGGCCAGATACTCTCAGGGCAGTATCAGGGCTTCCACATCGCTTTCCCCACTGCGATAGCTCACAGCCTACAGGTCAAGGAACCAATGTGAGGATTCTGCCAACTGCTAAATAAAGCCATTTGGATATTACATTTGAGAACCAGGAAAACGAGCAGTATGGTTCCCAATGGGCCCACTGAGGGACCTAATATATTCCTTGACTCTATATGTTCATACTCCCTTAGCAAGGGAGCCATGTGGTGCTTTAGGTCCCCATCCATCTGCATTAACTTGGACTTTGTATCCAATAACTTGGAAATAGCCAAGTATTCCTCTTTCCTAGTGTATGGTTACCTGAGTAAATTAAATGACCAGAGGTCTCTTTGGGGAAGGATTTGGAGAATCACTACTGTATACATTTGCCATAGATCTGGCTTCTATTTTACTGAATGGGTGTTTTGGATCTGAGAACTGTCTCAGGTAAGGAAACTGTGCAAGAGATTGTGACTGTCCCCTGGGACAGCTGACCTCGGTCTTCTGCACGTACAGGTTTTACCTGGATACATAAATATCATTTGATTATATATAGTATGCCTTTGATGGCTGCCCATCTACCTTGCCCCATGTTCTGTTAGCCATCTCCATGGATTTCTGTAAGTCAGGTGCCCCTGTCTGCCATCCTGACCCTGCGGCCCACTACAGCAATCATGCCCATCTTGTTTCTGCTGAGTAAGTGCTGGCATCCAGCCTCTATCCCTCCAGCCTCCCATCCTCCACCCCTTGTTACTAGAGAGCCCAGTTCTGTAACAGCATCCCCTGTCCTCAGGCCTGGCCTACAGATGACAGCCACCACTGACTTTCTCAACAAAGCTGGTCGTGCCCCTGCCACCCATGACCTTGGTAAACAGCGTGTCTTCCGGCCTTCTCATGGAATATAGTCAGCTGGTGGTACCATTCCAGCACGTGCACTACCGGAAGACACGGAATCTCAACTTCATTTAATGCAGCCCATTCCTTTCACCAAGTGCCAACCATCCGGGGTATCAGAAGCAGCCCGCTCGTGGGCCTTGAAGAAGTGTTAGATCTGTATGACGGGAGAGTGTTGCCATTAAGACAAACTCTCCTTTATTGCACCCCCTTGATACAGCCCCTTTGGGATCCCTTTCCAGGCTTCTTTACAGTCCTGTTGGTATATATTAGCCAGGTCCCACAGCTCCTTAAACATGCAACTCCTCCTCCTGAGCAGACCCAACACTTCTCCCGAAGAATGCATTGTCTTGTGGGTGACTGCCTCGTGGGTGGCTTCTGCATAGTCTCCCAGTTGGGGTGGGAGTGGGCCGCTTCAGCAAGCCCGGATAGTTCTGAGGAGTCTGAAGTTCTCCTGTGGTTAGACTCTCGTCCCCAGTGTTGGGGTCCTACCTCTTCTTTATCAGAGCCCTGAATTTGGTGTAGGTGATGGACCATGGCTGAGGAGTCACCCGTTTCTAAAGTTCTCCTTATAAATGGACCTGTTCTGACTGCAGCTGATAATAAACAAGCTGCCCAGGAGGTTCTCGGACTTATATGCTTTGCTTCATATTGATGACTCATCGCCCAGGGCCCTTCTTCTCCAGATAGATGATAGATTTATTTATTTATGTATTTATTTTTTGTTAGCGAGAGAAGAAGGGAGAGAGAGAGAGAAACATCAGCTTTCTCCTGCATGCCCCTTACTGGTGAGCGAGCCTGCAACCTAGGCATGTGCCCTAAGCAGGAATCAAACCCAGACCTCTCAGTCCATGGGATGAAGCTCAATCCACTGAGCCACACAGGGCCGGGCTCTTTTTCCTCTTGAAGGCATCAATGTCCACCCAGTCTCACAGTTCTTTCATTTCTATCCCCCTCACATCCTCAAACACCAGAGAGACTGAATAGGCCAACGCATTCCCTTCTACCATCCCCCATCCCGGTTCCCCCCAGGTGGGAGCCTTCCACCATCACGAACTATCAGTGTCCCACCTATCACCTGAATCCTATCCTTGGACTCTGCTTTTTTGGACCATTCCTGGTAACTGTCTTAAACCAGGCTCCCTAGAAGCCATTTGAGACAGAATTCAGGTGCACGTGATGCGCGGAGGGCGCTCCCTGGGGAGACAGGAATGAAGCTAGAGGGCAGGGAAAGGAGTTAAGCAGTGCTGTAGATGAAATGGGAGAAGAGCTTCAATCTGGTCCCACTGGAGCTCTGGAGCATGAGCTGTGTAAGACTGGTCGCAACTTGAGGCAAGGCCCTTCTGAACCCGTGCCAGTGAACCATTGCTACAAGCTGTAAGGGGAGGTGGGCATGGTTAACCTGGCCATGAAGCAACTCCCCTGTGGCCAAGAGCAGTTGTCAGGAGGAGGCAGCTGTGAGTTTTTATCCGCTAACAGAGCAGCTGGGAGGGGAAAAGGTGTGTCAGCCAATAAAGGATCTGGGTAGGGCATTACCAGGCCTACTACAGGCTCCTAAGTGCATGGAGGTCCTCAGAGAATCTAATTTATCCTTCTAGGACACCTTTTGCTCTTTGATCATGTAATTACCCAGATTGGGGGGTGGGGCACTTAGGCTCAATTTGCCCTTAGCATAAAGACAACTGTGGTCAAAATAACTGGCTAAGCAATCTCTGTAGGTCACACAGCTTGTTAGAGGCAAACTAAAATCTCCAAACAGCATGCACGTTGGATTCAGTCTGGAGGAAAAGGAGTTTCTGGTCTGGGCCAAGTTTGCTTACCATCTCAGCCAAAGGCCCAACAGTTTGAAGGCAGAGGCTTCCTAATATCCTTTGTAACATCTCCATGTTGTCAGTTTGCTATAGTAAATTGCACTGAAACTCTTCAGAGGAAAGGGGCCTCTAGGTTTGCTTTCAAGGCACAGAGGAAGGTGGAGAGGGGGCCATACAATCCCCTCCTCTGAGAGCCTGTTCTGGGTGGAGAATGCTAAGGGATGGTTTTTTAAAAAATCCCCTTTCCTACCCAGGTCGCTCAGGCACTGTATGAAAAAAGGCTGGCTGCAGGGGCAGTTTTCAATAGAATGGGAAATGGGAAATGAAATTAGAAGCCCAAATTTGAATGTGAACATTAGAAAGGGAGCATTTTGAAATACTGTGAAGCTCAGGTGAACATTAAGGATTTGGCTCTTTAATTCCTCCTCATTCTGTATTTAATCATCTGAAAGTCATTTGGAAAAAGCAAACAAATTACTGAGTCCATCCCTACAAATCTCTGAATGGTGTTGCAAAGGGCTGTGAGGGTGAGATTCCACAACTGTTCTTCATCAGGAGGTAAGTTGTGGTGTTAATTCCGAAAGTGGGCGCTGAACTTGAGAGGTTTGAAACCCAACCTTTCCCTTTTTCTTCCCTTGAAGTACTTGTGTTCTGCTCCAAACACACAACTGATATTTTATCACTTCAGTGATTTCTGTCTAAAATAGAGAACTAAGTGCTGCCATAGAAGATATATGCAATCTGTAGGAGGAGTAGAAAGATTCTGATGGGGTTCTCAAGCAGGGAGGGCTTCATGGGAGAAGCCCAGGGTAGGATTTCTATACGCAGAGGTAGGAAGAGGTGTTTGTAGGGAAACGTGTGCTATGGCTGGGACACGTAAAAGTGTTAACGGGTACTGGAGCCTTCACTGCCAGGCAAAGGAGTTTAGGCTTTTCTGTGGGCCAAGTAAGTGGCTGCGAGCTCTGAGGAGGGGAGGCACATCTGCACTGACCTGTGCTTCTGGAAGATCATCCTGTGGTATGAAGGTTGAAAGGGCGTGGGGACTAGAAGGGAAGCGCCAGAAAGGAGAACGTGGGGAATGGGCGTGTTGAGAAAGGTCGCCTCGGGGAGGAGGGTCAGGCTCACAGCCCCAGGGTGGGTCGAGTAGACGTGACTCGAAGTGAAGGGTTTAAGCAGGTGAGGAAAGAACGAGAGAGACTCAGCGTAGTGCCGGGGAGTGCCACGCCCTAGAAGCAGGGCACCCAACAGGGAGGAGCAGAGTCGTGGCGGAGGAGAGACGCAAGGATGAATCACTTCGCTCCCTGCTGGACCTCGTGGTGGAGACACCCCGTAAGTAGTTGCAAGCACGGATGTGGCACCTGGGAGCGCTGGTCTAGGTGCCCCCAGAGACTGTGCGATGCTCGGACCCGAGATGAGCTCGGGACGGCAGTGGCTCGGCCCTTTCCTGGATTCAGGTGTAACATCGTCCGCTCCCTGCCCCAGTTCGTGAAGTCCGGCCGCCGGCGGGCGCAGCGCTGTCTCCGGCGCGGCCGAGGGACGAGCGTCGCGGTCGTAGCAGAGGAGCGCACGAGGGAGACACGCCCAGAGCCGTGTCCGTTTGGGGGTCCTGGCAGCCCGCGCCCCGCGTGCCCCCGCGCGGGCGGGCCCGGGGCGCAGACGCCGAGGCGCTCTCGGGCCTGGCCTGGGGCCCCGCGGCCGCCGCCGACCGCTAGGGTAAGGACTTCACGCGGCCGGGGCGCAGCCAATCAGCGCGCTCCTGCCGCGGCGCCCGGCGCGCCAGTGACGCGCGCCACCCTGCGCCCGCG